ATTTGTAGACTTCCCCCCCAACCCACCCATCCTTCCCCCATGTAGAATATGTCATTCAACTTTCCCTCGTCTGAGCGTGCAGAAAGGCCTTCAGGTTTGAAAGAGGACTTGATCCCTTTTCCAGACATATTCACAGCGGATTAGGCAGTGAGGCCCCAACTAAAGCACCCTTAATCAAATCAAAATAAATAGCCCCCTCACAATGGAGGATGCCACATTTTCCTTTCTATCTTGCAGGAGATTTGTCCCGCGGAGGGAATATCACAGTCAAAAGGCCCGGCGCCTGCAGAGGGAATACAATGCGATGTGTGTGTGTTCAGTTGGGCCTGAATGTGCACGTAGTCTTTGACAGCAGGGTGACGCTCTCACAGCTCTGATTGCAGCTGGTGTCGGAGTCGAGCTTCGCTCTCAGAGCCTAAGTGGGCCTCGGGAAAAGCTTCCGGCGTTGCGACCGCGCTGCACTCCAGGGCAGCGAGGAAGCGTTTACTGCAGATTAGGGCTCATTTCAAGTGTTCCACAAAGTCTGCCTGGAGATTGACAACCGCTCCGACGGGCCACCGGGCAACCGCTGTGAAAAAACGACGGCACACAACACCGTTTCTAAGGCCTCCTCTGGAGGTCAGAGAGGTTACGGATCCATCAGCTTTGTGGCAACCAATCGTGTTAATCTGTGGATACCTACGTTTTTGTCCCCTTCCAGGTAACTATCCTCGGCCCTCCAGCTACGGCGGGCCCGCCAGCACCGGCTACAGCGGCCCCGGCCCCGGCATGACCAACAGTCTGGGGATGAACGCAAGCAGCCCCATGCACGGCCAGGGGCCCGGCCAGCCCATACCTGTGGGACGCAGCCACGGCCCGGGCAGCCAGAACAGGGTGTACCCGCCGATGGCCCCCAGCTCCCCCAGCATGCCCCAGCCAGCTGGGCCCGGGATGGGCCCTCCTTCGCTGGGTAGTGCTAACCGCAAAGCCCAGGAGGCAGCGGCAGCGGCAGCTGCCATGCCGGGTTCCGCCAACTCGACACACAACAGGTGAGAGCGCAGCCGGGACTCGGCTCTGGCGCCTCGAGGAGGTATGTTTTTTCCAGAGATAAACATGTGTTTCGCTTTTGCTTTGTGTTGCATTCATAAATACATATACGCCAATGTGTGTACACATTGGCGTATAATTAAATGTTCCCATGCCGTAATTGTCCTAAAGGAACTTTTCACAACGGAGATTATTGTGTAATTTTTGTGTTACGGCATCAGAGGCCCAAACTCCATTGTGGGACTGAGCTTTTTATATGTCACCAGGAAACAGTGCTCTGCTTGCGAGCGCCGCTATCTCACATCAGGGTCACCTGTGGGGGGCTGGGGGGGGGGGGGGGGGG